TTGGTGTTGTAGGACTGGTGTGGGGGGGTGTCATTCGGTAGCCGTTGTCGGGGTGGGGGTGTAGGTGTTGGTGCCGGCACCAGGGGTTTTTGAGCTACTGCTCACGGGTGGGTCCGGGGTGGATCCTGGGGTCTGGGGTCCCTGGGGCGCATCACCCTCGGGCGGGGGGTTTGGGTTCTGTGGGGAGTACTGCTTGGGGTCTGGGCCGGTGTACGCCCAGCTGTCCACCCCTGCCACAGCCTCTGGTGTGCTGGGGTGCCTCAGGGCCTGTTGGGCTGGAGGGGCATGGACATTAACACCTATGGCAGATGCTTACCCCTTCAGGGGTTTGCACTCTGCTAGTGGGGGAAGGGGAGGGAGGGGGAGTAGGAATGATCTCGGCCTGGATGTCTTTTGTCACTTGTGTGGTGAGTAGTTTGAATGTTAATGTAGGGAAGGGATTAGATCTCCGGAGGGGGGTGGGGGGGGTGATAGAGGGAAGAGAAGTTCAGAAGGGCTTCGGGTCTGGCTCCCTGTCTCGGTCCTGGTCCGTGCCGTCCCATGGTGGGGCTTTTTCCGGGGTGGGGGCTCTGCGTGTTGAACGTGGGCTGGCTGGCCGGAGTTGTCCCCCCCTTATTTATTCATTTATTTTAATTATTATTATCATTAATTTTTTTTTGTAGATGGACAGGATGGGGGGAGGGTGGTGGTGTCGGCCCTGTGCCCGGCTGGCTGGTGGGTGCTGCTGCCAGTCCCGGGCCCCCGGGCTATGGTGGTGAGACTGGTGGGGCCCCCTTCTCCAAAAGGGGCTCTCGGGGAACAAGGGTGCCTATTGGAGTCAGCGGGGGAGCTGGCTTCCTGGGAGTGCAGCAAGCACCCCAGTCTTTTGCTCCACATTCCCGAAATCCTCCTTCTACCTGCTCCATTACACTGCCACACATGTAGGTTTTTGGGGAGGGGGTCCTTACTGGAGGGCCCCACCTTCTGATGATGTCCCCCACCCCAATTTTATTTGGCATTTTAGACACTTCCATCTACAACATTTTCACAACACACATCTATGCAGGGTATTTTCTGGGGGGTGGGGGTCAAGGCCACCCAGGGGGGGCTTATTTTATGGGCCCCACCATGGTCAGCTTCCTCCATCCCCTCCCGCATCTAGACATTGAGGGTTCAGGGATGTCGATTGGGGGGTTGCACTGGCACCACCTATCTCCCGGAGGGGGGGTGGACTGTGCCGGACACCCCCTCTTGGTACTCCCAGTTTTAATTACATCTGAGAGCAACATGCAACAACACCACATTTGAGCAGGTGCAGGGAGGATCGGGGTCTTCTCACACCCCTGTTCCCCGGCTGCCATCCGGAGTCTGGGCCTGGAGGAAGAGTGAGCCACCTGGTCCGTGGTTTTGGCTAGGTGGCCTGCCACCGGCAGGCCTCCCAGGTTGGGGTCTGAACTGACCCCTCTCCCAAATACATCTCAAGTCTCCACTAAGTGCGGAGCACATTCCCCCCATCCTGCTCTCCTTCCGCTGGCTGGCATCGGGGCTCGCCGGTGGAGCTTGGGGTCTGGGGGTGCATGCCCGGGTGGTTACTGGCTCATTCCTGGCGGCCTCTCCGCGGGCGCCGGCTGGCTAGGGCCTTGCTGGGGCTCCTGTCTGGGGGTCGGGTGCCCCTGGGGCCTCGGATCCCTGGGGCCTGGGACCGGATTCACTTCGGGGAGGGGCTGGGTGTTGTTCAGGGATTTTCGGTGCTGGTGCCTTCGCTTTGATGCCGGTTCCTGGGCGATGCAATTTTTCGATGCCGGTTTTATGGTATCAGTTCGGGGACGAGGAGAGTTGCATGGCGTGGTGAGGTGCGGGTCTTGGGTTTTGGGCTCTGGTTTTTCCATTTGCATTTTTCCTCTTGCATGGAGGAATTTTTTTCAGTTGCGGGCGGGTCGTTATCTGGTGTTCACTGTTGCATTGTGGGGGGCCTTTTTGCTTCGCTGTTTTTCTTTGGAGGGATTGGCATGTCTGTGGGGGGGCTGGAGATGATGAGCTGACTTCGCTGATTGGGTTTTCAGGTGGATTTTCCCACTTGGAGGCATGGTGGAGTTGCTTTGTTCCCGCCGAGCGCAGCGGGTGTGGCTGCGGGGCGGGTGGAGTGCTCTGCGCATTGGGGGGCCGGAGCTGTCAGAGGCTGCTGCGGGCGGCGGGTTGCTGCACTTGCTGCGTCCGGTGTGGGAGCGGCGTGGTTCGCTCCGCTCTGGCTTTGCGCTTCCCACAGGCTGCTGGGGGGGATGGTTGCGCCGGCTGCGGTCCACTCTTCTTGCCCTTGGGTTGTTTCCGTGCGCGGTGTGTTGCGTTGCGCACTGTTGGCATCGGTCCTGGTGGGGTGGGGTCATGCTTTTGACCTGGGGGGCATTTGTGGTGGTTCCACGGTGCTCACGGCCATTTCGCGGCAGATGTGTGTGGGCCCTGGCTGTGGGCGTGGCCGCCTGTCTGTTTTTCCTGGACGGCGCGGTCGCGTTGGATGTTGCAGCCGGTCACCGAGGCTTGGTGCCGGGGGGCGGGGCGTGTTTCGATGGTCTGTGGGGCCGGGGCATTTTGGTCGGTGCAGTGGGGGGGCCGGTGTTCGGTGCCCAGCCCTACTTCAGGGTGGCCTGCTGCCGGCGGAGCCCACAGAGCCCGCGGACTCGTCCCCACGGCTCCCCAGGGCACTGGCATGGCAGTGGCTGGGGGGCTTCCTTGGGGGCTGTCTCTCCTCCTCCCTTGGTGGGGGTCTGATTTCCGGGGCTGGCCCCTCCTTGGTGCCTTCGCTCTTGGGGTCCCTTTGGGTGCCTGGGGCTTTGGGTCTCCCGGCGCTGGACTCAGTGCTCTGGGGGGTGTGCCTCTTCAGCTCTCTACAACCACTATTGAGCTTTTTTTTTTCTATGGATAAACTTTACATGCACAAGTGCACCCTCACAAACAATTACAGGTGCTTGGCTCCAGGTACTCAGAGATTCACTTCCATACAGAAAGCTCACATTCATATCTTCAGGTAACACAGAGTACATGTTAGACTTCATAATACTACTTTAGCGATAGTTTCAAGGTGTGGCTTTATTGTATGTCTCGTACCATGTCTTTCGGTTGTGCTGTTCTTTTTTCATCTCGTTACAGGTGATGAAGCAGACTGAAAATGTTTTGTCATTGTCTCCTTTCTATCTCCTCTTTCTTTCATCTTTTCTTTTTTTTTTCCTTTTTCTTCTTCTGTTTTACTGCTCTATTTACATTGCAGTGTCCATATAAACTGTAAAACTTCCTGCATAATTATAATAAAGCAATTTATATGCATGAAACAAGTGGAGCAATATGGCAATTGCCGTACTGCTACACTTGTGAAAATAAAATCTGTTGGGCTCTTTTTGGCATCAAGACAATTATTCTTATTGCCACATTGCCAGACAGGACACTGTAAAAAAAAAGAAAATAAATTATTTCTGGCTTTGAGAATGGCCCAGACCAACGTCACTGTTTCGATGGTTATGTTTGCAGCCGTTTCATTTACCTGCCTGAGTTGTTGTGTTCCCTATCTCAGAACTCTGATGATGAGGTTATCGCAACTACCATTGGGGAAGGGAGTGCTGATATTAAACCTCCGCCTTGTCAAATGTGTGTTTTGACTGACTCTGATTGTTAAGAGCTGAACTTGTCATCTGTGTGAAACATCTTTTTGTTATGATTTTAACATTTTGCATTGAGATGGTTAATTTTTTACTCATAATGAGGTTTGTTGCATTCAGGAGCTCAGGTTAATCATTGGACTTATACTTTCCAGACATAAAGGAGTCTGTTTCTAGCGATTTTACCTTTTTTATTCCAGGGAAACAATAAAGGGTAACTAATAGTTGCAAGCACTAAAAATAATAATATATATTTTTTTAATTTTCAAAAAGATCTTTTACCATGAAAAGAACCATCATGGGGAATAACACTTAAATGTTTTTGCCAACAAGGGTGTGATTTCAGGGCTCTATTTATTGGCAACATATTCTAGCTATCATAACCCTTTCCATGATTTTTCCACCTATATTATTTAACATTGTCCACTGGCTTGATTG